GCGGAGTAGAGCATGAAAGGTTCACCATGCCCTCAGTGAAGCATGGTGGTGGCAGCATCATGACATGGGGTTGCTTTTCTTTATCTGGACCTGGGCTTTTAGTCAGTGTGGATGAAGTGATGAACAGTTCAAGCTGCTATTTTTTCCCCCTGGTTTGAAGGTTTTTAGCTGTTTTGCCACAGTTGGCTTTTTGACCTTGTCGTTTTGCTTCCTTTAGCCTTTAACCAGCATTTAGTTACTTTTAGCCTTTTACTGCTTTTAGCTATAGCATTTAGCTTCGTTTGGCTTTTAACTATGATTTTTCTTTCTTTTTTWAATCTTCAGYCATTGTTCTGCTTCMTTTAGCAATCCTTCAGCACTCAGCAGTGAAGTTGTAAATGAATCCAGGTTTTATGRTTTGGACTGTGCGCTGCTGCAGAACCTGTTGGAGCTGCTGCAGAACCTGAACGTGTCATGCAGATGTCTATCCTCACATGTTTTCAGGAACAGTAAATATTTTCGCAGCAGCAGCAGCACGACACAAGTTAATCTCCTCTTGATTTAAGCTGAGCCCGCCCCCCTCCAGGACTCAGCTCTCTCTCTGCTTCAGAAGCTAGATGAAATGCGGAACCGTCCATCAGATCGGTTCGGTGCCCAGCCGAGCTGAACAACGGAGGCGGAGCGTGGCTGCGATGGAAACGGGCTTTAATCTCTCCGTCCCTCGGTGCTTTCTGGGATAAAAAAAATAAAAATAAATAAACAGGCTTGTTCTCTGTCGCAGAAGCAGCTCAAGCCACGGTGAGGTGAAGCCGCACCGCAGGAGGGAGGGGGTGGGCTTTTTTTTTTTTTTTTTTTTGCATGAGAACCGGGGACCCGGTGATGGCGAGCAGCGGCAGCAGGGGAGCCGCAGCCCCGGCGGCCTCACCGAGCCAGCCGCCCGGGGGGGCACGCGCGGTCGGCGCGCTGTGGGCTTTCGGAAAATCCCTCGCCGCCGTCCTGCCCGTCTACCTGGCGGGATATTACGGCTTCAGCATCAGCGTGGTGCTGTTCGCGCTGATGCTCTACATGGGCTGGAAACACAGCCGCCTGGAGAAAGAGATGAAGCTGAAGTCTGCCATGTACCTGCTGGAGAACGACAAGGAGTTCACCACAGAGACGGTCTTCAGAGCCAAGAGGGATTTACCTCCCTGGGTAAGAGAGACATGATGATGATGATGATGATGATGATGATGATGATGATGATGATGATGATGATGATGATGATGATGCTCCTCTGGGAGCTTTCCCAGCAGGTTGGACCACCTGTGTGAGGCTGATCTCCTGCTGCAGTCCTGCAGCTTGAGTACATTTTTTTTTTGTAAGCAGAGTTTTCCCCCCCTTAATACACAAAAAACTGTCTCAGACTGCAAAATGATTTAAATGCAGACATTCCTCTGTTTTAACTGCTGCCACACTAAAGGATGAGGATGAACAATGAGGAATTATTAGGGAATAAAAATGSTATTTCAAGGAACTTGTTGCTTCCTCTGGTTTAACTTCACTGAAACTGCTTTGACCTTATCTGGTTCCATAAACATGGTGATGAAACATCTGTCAGAGCAGAGCAGAGGATCATCAGGACCACCATATCAGGAAACAGAGCCAGGGAGAGCGAGCTGTGTGTGTGTGTGAGAGAGAGAGAGAGAGAGAGAGAGAGAGAGAGAGAGAGAGAGAGAGAGAGAGA